TGCATAAAAACTGACACAAGCTTTGTATGAGTTCTTGGCAGTGTTAGATTAAAAGTTACACCAGATAATCCTAGAGGTCTTTTCCAACCTAACTGATTCTATGACTTTGTAGACCCCCTAAAGGGGGAATGAGGCAGGTAAGAAGTGTAGCATTGAAGTAACACAGTGGATATTTTAAGTAGACACAGTATTTGTGGCAAAGAAAAAAGAAAAAAAAAAGAAAGAAAAAAGGTCATAAAATTGGATTTAAGCTAAAAACTAGGGAATGCTGGTGGATGTGGAGGAAGATTTTGACTGGGCTATCAAGGAGCATGGGGCTATTGTCCAATGTACACCTGAAAAGGCCATGAATAAAATAAGTGCAATAAAATATGGAAGGTAAATCAGACTGTCCATAATATCTGACTACTGGCACAAGCCAGTAGCAGAAGAAAAGCAAGACTTTGCAACTCACAGAATTATGGACTGGCCGAGGTAGGAAGACACCTCTGGAGGTCATCTGGTCCTATCTCCTGCTCAAGCAGGGGCACTCAGAGCAGGTTGCCCAGGATCATTTCCTGGTGGTTTCTGGAGGCTCCAAGGAGGAGCCTGCACAACCTCTCTGGACAACAGATTCCTTGCAAATGTTCAAAGCCAAATCTGGCATTCTCAAGTATAAGGCAGGGAAACAAAGTCTTGGCATCGAGTGAAGTTATGGAGTCCTCTATCACAAAACCAGTAGATCAATATTGTGCCAGAGCTACTTCCACATGACAAACTCCTTCAGGGCATTCCTCACGTCCCTGTTCCTGAGGCTGTAGATCAGAGGGTTCAGCATGGGCACCACCAGAGAGTAAAACACAGAAAAGATCTTGTCAGTGTTCAGGACACTGCTGGAGCTTGGTCGGAAGTTCAGGGCGAGGATAGACCCATGGAAGATGGTGACTCCGGCCAGGTGAGAGGTGCAGGTGGAAAAGGCTTTGTGTTGGCCCTTAGGGGAGTTGATCTTTGAGATGGCAGAGAGGATGAAGGCATAGGAGACCAGGACGGCCAGGATGGTCACCATCTCAACCAGTCCTGCAAGACCAAATACCAAGCACCTGTTGATGTGGGTGTCAGAGCAGGACAGTGCTAGAACAGACATGATATCACAGTAGAAATGATTGACCTCAGCCGGCTGGCAGAAAGACAATCTGAAGGTGAAGTCCGTGTGCACCAGAGAGTGCAGCAGCCCAAGGATGTATGAGCCGGCCACCAGCAGGATGCAGACCCGTCGAGACATGATGGCCATGTAAAGCAGAGGGTTGCAGATGGCCACGTAGCGGTCGTATGCCATGGCAGCCAGCAGGAAGCACTCGGTGGTCCCAAAACCTATGAAAAAAAACATCTGGGCAGCACAGCCAGTCAGGGAGATGGTTTTCTTCTCTGTCAGAAAGTTCACTAAGGTTCTTGGTGCCACCACTGTTGAGTAGCAAGCATCCAGGAGAGACAAACTGCTGAGGAAAAAGTACATGGGCGTCTGAAGTTGGCCGCTGCTCCTGATCAGCACAACCATCCCCAGGTTCCCTGCCAACGTGGTGGCATAAATGAGGAGGAACAGCACAAAGAGAGGTGCCTGCAGCCTGGGGTTGTCCGTGAGTCCCACAAGAGTCAGCTCTGTAACTTGTCCGGTTTGATTCTCCTCGGCCATTTCCACCAGAAGCACTGTGAGTTATGTCCACAAAGCTACAATGAAAATTATAAATTAAAGGGCAGACTCAGCGCCTAAAAAGACCTACACTGGCTATTGCTCCTATTATAAAAGATTTGTTTGATTTTCAACCAACGTGCATCAAAAAGCAACTTGACAAAACAATGGAAATTTATTTCAGTATCAGTTACTCTGCCAAGTGTTCGATTTTTTTTTATTCATTCATTTGCATATATATATATATCATCTATTGTATTCTCATATGTAATATGATCAGTATGATGATATGGATCACACTTCAGTGCAACAAGGGAAGGGAAGGGAAAAGTGGGGGCATTTCCTGACATCAGCAGCCTGGAGATCTGCATGCAAGGTGAGGCTGCTTTTGATAGTGAATCACGGCACAGAAAGGGGGAAAACACAGCTGAAAAGGTGACCCAGGCATCTGCAGTGGCTGCTTTTTTTTAATGCCTCCAACTTTCAGAATGCCTTTTTGGTGGAGTGTTCTTAAAGATTCTTTTGCTTGCATTGTTGCACAGAAGAAAGATGAAAATCATCCTCAGTCTTCCATAACTATTCAATTTTTTATTATTTTGGGGTTAAGCTATTCTGGAGTATAAGGAAGTGGAGCTGTGCCATCATTTGAGAGAAAATAAATTCTTAAAAAAAAAGGTGGCACAACAAATCTTCACATTTATAACTTCCTTCTCTATGCTTTTTGATTTTAAAATTCATACTCAGGAGTTTTAAATACAAGAAAATTTCTGTTTAAATTCATGCTTACAATAAATGTATTAAATATACCAATGCTTCCTGACTCTTTTTCTCAGAAATCAATGGGAAACACAGAACAACACTCCAGGAGCAGCCACTATTACATAAACATATATTTAAAGCAAAATGAGAAAAGAGTCGGTTTTAAAGAAAACTCGGGGGGGTAAGCCTGCCCCCATCAGCTTCGTATAGTCTAGGATCATGGAAATCACCATGCTGCTTATAGAGTTTCTATCCCTGCAACCAGATGTTGCAGTACAGCTTTCCCATACCGATGCAGGTAAATCAGTGTAAAATGGGCATTAGTGAGCCTGTCTGGGACTTGAGGTGGAAAAATCAAATAAACTCTGTGCCCAGGTGCAAGAAGTGCATGGGATTTAGCTGCATGCCAGACAATGTACTCAGTTCCTGACAGAGGAACAGGGGTCAAAATGCTGCAGGAAATCCTACAGAAAGCCCAGATTACTCAGGGTGGAACTCCCCAGCATTGCAGAGAAAGACGTGGTATAACTGGTAATTCACCTAATAGCTGGCATCACAGCCTTCCAAAAATTCAGGTGCCCTGTGCTCCCCTTTTGCCACTATAGCTCTTACAGGAGAATCCCTCTTCTTGTTTTCTCTAATATAGATATGGCTGAGAACAACCAAACCCATCTCTACAGACCCAATTCTGAGCAAGGCAGTTGTTCTCTTTCCGCTTCTTCCTGCAGGGGATGCACACACCGTGGGCGTCCTCTGCTCCTCGCCAGTGGGGACCTCACCTCTGCAGCGGGCAGCACTGGTGCACAGCAGGTAGCAAGGACGTATCTTTGTTCTGAGCAACCCACCCGATTTAATTGCTTTTTAATGCTCCTGTCACCAATCCTACCCTGCTGGGACTTCTAAGGTGCTTTGGTTGAGAAGTGGTTTTGAAGATTTCCTTTGGGAGTGGTGCAATTATTTTTATATTCCTGTTTCCATATCTACCATGTTTTCCACGTATATTTTTCATAAATGTTTATTTCATATACATTCATATTTTTTCTATATACTTCTTTGTTTTACATATATACATATTTATATTCCCATTTCAATATATATTTCCTGCAGAGTTCATATATTTATGTACACACATGCTTATATAGATATATACATATGCCAGGGAACAATGAAAAAGAAAACACATACTTTACAGTGATGCAATGAATGAACAAACAAACCAGGATCAGTGAGTTCTGGCCAGCGCAAACCAATGCAAAGCTAACTATACTCCTTTTATTAAAACAAAACCACAGTGAAATGAGAAGAGACGAGAAGAGAGAAGAAATTCCTTTCCCCTGTTATGCCAAAATTTACCACAGTATGTGCGAGGCTGAGGCCAAAACTCATCTCCCTCAGCAGGTTGAAATGCTCTTTTGGGGGAGATTCCTTTCTTTTTTTTTTTTTTTTTCCTTTCCTGCAAGGAGTTAGAAGAGAGAGGAATAGGCAGTGCTACGTATTTGTTTGGCAGGTGTTGGAGCAGAGGAGGGCTAAAAGAGGAAGTCACTGCAGTGGAAATATTGGAAAATATATCTTTGTGTTGCTGAAATCTATCTGGAGTGGCACCAAAAATTACACCTGAGAAAGCTAAATAATAACCAGGGGTTCAAGGAGGTATTCACTGAGTGGAAAATTTACTATTGTTTTCATTTTAAGGTAATTTATTTAATTATATATTTTTTTATCCAAAGTTATTTTTTTCTTAACAATACGACAGAGAAATCTTCAGCATATTGGTATCAGTCCCCATTCTGTAACATCTCGATTTGTTGTACTGAAAGCCCATTTTTTAATAGGCTGGAAAACACAGCCTTGTTGATTCGATAAATGCAGAACCAGTTGTTATTAACCCAACATATGGCTAAGTTATTTACATTTGCACACCATCTGAAAAGTAGATGTAAGAACAGCCAAAGCAAGGCTGAAATTACCCAGGGGGTTGCAGGAAAATTACCACAAACACTCACTGCGAAAGTCAAGTGAAAAAGCCAAGCCACAAGCACTCAGTTGAGAAACTCTGATAAAGAAGTATGTGATTGAGTTATTAGAAGATTGTATGATGAGTCCTCCCTGTCCTGCGGTCCTTCAGGTCACTTCCTTTCCCACCCAAACCTGTAGGCACAGAGTTTCACAGATACATTGAGGAGAACCCTTCAGGGAAGGGTTTCTGACAGTCTTTGTGGCTTCTCCTCTCAATGTTAGTCATCCGGAAACCTGTGTCCAGTGTAAACCAGGCTTTCTCTGTACTCACTGAAGAGAGAAATGGGATAAGCAGGATGAATCAAGCTCTGTGGTGGGATGGTTCACCGCTCACGGACCATTGATGGTACGTAAAATTTAGTTTCACCTCACCTAACTTTGGCTATACAGAAGTTAGTGTCTGTTCTGTATCAGTTATTGGACCTCTCCCTATTGCCGAGTGAAAGAAATTATATAGAAATTGCTCCTGGTTCACCTTCAATGAAGATTTCAATGCGTTTTGAGCCCCATTCAATAACTGTGATAAGGAAATGCTGCCCTGGTCACCCGCTTTCCTCACTCACAGCCTTCTTCCAGCCACTCTTCTCAGGGCAGCCTTCACCTCCCTGTTCCTCAGGCTGTAGACCAAGGGGTTCATCATGGGGGTCATGATGGTATAAAATAGCGTGGCCGCTTTGTTCTCATCCAATGCATAGGTGGAGCTGGGGCGCAGGTAGGTGAACAAAATTGCCCCGTAAAACATTGTGACCACCGTCAGGTGGGAGGCACAGGTGGAGAAGGCTTTTCTCCGGCTCTGAGGAGAGTGGATCCTCAGAATGGCAGGGAGGATATAGATGTAAGAGACAAAGATAACGGTCAAGGTGCTGAGACAGTTTATGCTGACGAGAGCGAGGACAACCAGCTCATAGGTGTGGGTGTCGGAGCAGGAGAGAGCAAGGAGCGGGGCGATGTCGCAGAAGTAGTGATTGATGACATAGGTCCGGCAGAAGGAGGATGTAAAGATGAAAGTGGTATGCGTCACTGCATGCACGACGCTGATGGTGTAGGAAGCAGCCACGAGCCAGTGGCACGTCACTCTGCACATGATGGTGGGGTACAGGAGGGGCTTGCAGATGGCCACGTACCGGTCGTAGGCCATCACAGCCAGCAAGAGGCACTCAGTGATCCCAAAAACAACGAAGAAACACAGCTGGGCTGCACACTCCGAGAAGCTAATTGTTTTGTCCTCCATCAGCATCTGTACCAGCATTTTGGGGAGGATGATGGAGGAGTAGCAGATGTCAACAAAAGCTAAGTGGCCGAGGAAATAGTACATGGGGGTGTGAAGACGAAGGTCGGTCCTGATTAATGCAATCAGCCCAAAGTTCCCCAGGAGTGTCACTGTGTACACGGACAGGAAAACCAGGAAAAGGGGGACCTGCAGATCCGGGTGGGTGGTCAGCCCCAAGAGAATGAACTCATGCACGTCAGTGTGATTGACAGGTGTCATTCTCCAAAAAAACATTCAGCCTGCGGGGTAAGGATAAAGCAACGAAAAATGCCAGGGCCAGGAGGGGAGCAGAGGATACCTGGCAGCTTCAGTCCTCTGATTTTGGGCAGCTCAGCAGGACCCTCAGCTTGCCCTGTGCTGCCAAGAGGAGGCAGAGTGCTTCCCTACTGGAGCATCATGCTGAGCTTCCAACTGCTCCTGGGAGAGCCAAACCTCTTCAAAACCATTTGAAAAGCAAACCTTAGCTCTCAAGCTAAACACTGGGAATGCCAACCTGGGCTGAGTTCAGCATTTCATCTCCAACACAGCTTCGTTATTTGTGTACTCCTGGTGACATTTAATTCAGGTGGAAAGTCGAGACTGTGGGCATTATTCAGCAATAACCTATTTTGGTTTTGGTTTAAATTGAGATACTTAATGCATTTTGATTTTCCTTAGTCAATATCAGGTGCCTTTCAAAAAGAATTAAAGGGGGAGGAAAAAAACTTTTTTTGTTGTTTTTAAATAAAACAACATGGAACAATTCAACTTGCAGAAGTACCTTCCCTATTGAATTTCATTTCCCTTTGCAAAGCAAAGGGGAGCAAAAGCATGGGCATTTTTCTTCTAAGTCTGATTTGAACACACAGTTTTCATTATACATGGTGTTGACAACTCCATAGGAAAGGAAGCTCATGGTGGCACGGTGGTGGCTGGGAACTTGGATGAATAGTCAAGGCCAAAAGATCAATCACATGAGGAGCTGAGCAGGGAAGGGCGAGGAAATTATACAGTCTGCACTGAAAGCACTGGGGTCATCACCTGCTATTACAGTGGTACCTGCAGAAAGATGGGATGTCCATGTGTCTCCCTGTTTTATATCATCTAAACTTTAAATCAGTCCTCTTCCTATGTTAGTTTCCTTCCGCTATGCCCAGTCTATTTGATATAAATCAGGTATCTTAAACTTCTGGTCCTTTCTTTCACCTATCTCACTACGTTCAAGTTCATAAGACAAACAGAAAGGTGCTTATTGCAGCTCCACGATGCCCCTTAACATCCCACTTGTTCAGAGCTGAGGACCTCACCTTGGGCATGACTTCTCCTACAGAGCTCAGATCTTCAGGTCCATGTAGTTCCTTCAGCAACTGGGATGACTTTGTTTGCTTCTCCAGAAGAAATGACCAAGGCCATAGTTCATCTCCAAACAGGTGTTGGGAGTGCTTTTTAGTGATCATTCCTTAAGCACAGCACTGAGAATGATTGTTGAATGATTTTTTAGTGACCAAATAGTATTTATATCAATTTCTGTGACGTTGGAGGCATTTCACTCCATGGAGACTAGAAACTTGACAACAAGCAAAATCCTCTCGGAATACAAATTTCTTGATCTGCAGGTTCACTAATGAAGCCCACGAATAATTTGTTTTGAATATCTGGATTTAAGCAGTTGTTCTCTCCCTTCTCCCATACGGAGGAAAGGGAGTGGATGAAAACCAAAACACTTATACATGATTCACCAAAAGAAAAAAAAAAAAAGAAAAAACTTTCTTCCATAGTCACACCTGTCTGTTATCTAACTTTCTCTGTATTCTTTTTAGTGCCACTCTAGCTAGATTTTGGCAACGCAAACATATTTCTTCCAATCATTTCTACTGTGACGAACTCCCTGGGTCAGCACCCTCTTGCTCCAATACACACCTCAAACAAACATAGATTTTTGCCTCTGCTGGCTTTGCTGTGATTGCTTCACCTCTGCTTGTCTACTACCTCAATATGTTTTCTACTATCTTAGAGATCCAAGCAGCTGTCCATCTAAAAAAATGTTTAAATAATAAAAAATCCCATCTGCATGATGGCATCTATTGCAACATTTTCCAGCACGTGTCCAATGTGGTTTTGAAGGTAAGAAAAGTGCCATCAGCCTGAAATATCATGAAGTCTGACAGATTGGGTCTGTATTACTGTTTTAATTCTCTCTCCTTATTCTGTTCATTAAATCTTAGTCACTCAGAAAATATGTAAAAACACAATCTGTGCTCAAATATACAGCAATACCAAAAATCCTGTAATGAATTTTAATATAAAAGAATGCAGAAAACAGCCTATAAATACACACACGCACACACACACACCAAAAACAAAAACAAAAACAAAAACAACAAACAAACAAAAAAAAACCACAGTGAGAGTCTTCATGGCTTCTTTCCCAGAGACACCTGCCAGAGCTTTTGGACTCCAGCTCCCCAAAATGAAGAAAGACATGGAGGCAAAATCTCAGTGCTGACAGGATGAGCGCGGAATTGTTCAAAGGAACAAAAGAAAGAAATGGCAAGGTGTGAGATGAATCACTGAGTGGCATTAGCATGTGGTGCATATGTTAGTGCTAGTCACCACAAATGGTCCCCTCGATGTGCGTGGGGTTTCTTACCCCGCATCCCCTGCAGGACTCTGGGAAAGAATACCAAAGCCAGACTGGAAGCAGAAAGTGGTGGTTTATTTTTCTTTAAATCAACATTTTGTTTTGAGAAATGAAAATCTAATTATGGGGTGGTAGCGTGTGTGTTTTTTTTTCTCTTCCAGACTATCTACTGCTACCTCAGCATTTGTGCTTGACTCAGCATTGAGTCTGAGCATGATTTAGCTGAATGTTGTACAAACTTCTTCATCTGATCATTCTTCATCCTGTCACTGGATTCTCTAGGAAACAATCCATCTTGCTCCAAAATAAACACCCTAAATAGCTTATCTGAATACTTCCTGGAAGTTCACACTTCTCCCCATTGACTACTGAGTTGCCATTGACAGGTGTTGTCTTGGAGGTGGCCATTGACCTATCAAGGGTGTGATGTTAGGTGAGAAGAGCTTTGTCTGCTGTGTCAGACCCTCTGGGCTTTCCTGCAATCATGTCATGCAGACCAGAACAACAGATGTTTCAAAAGGACCCATCTCTCATCTAATAGCAGGGAGTTTGGGCCCTATTAAAACAAAAACATGTCTTTCAACTTCTCTGAGATTCAGAATGTCCCCAGGACCACCATGAATTATCCTTTCACCCCAAGGCCATAGCTTATTTGTGCCCTTTGCCTTTTGTCCCACTCACAGAGACACACTTTCACTAAGAGAATGACAAGAAGAAACAGGCCAGTGGTGGAAGAGATCATTCTTTAGGGAACTGCAGGTGTTCAGGAGTTGCAGGTGGCTCTCTTTGTGCTGTTTCTTCTTGTCTATGTCACCTCCTTGGTGGGAACCTTAGCACGAACACGTTTATCAGGCTCAACTTGGGACCATGCCTCTTCCTCTGCCACCTCTGTCTGCTAGATCTTGTCAGGTCCTTAGCGGTTGCTCCCAAAATGCCGGTGAATTGCTTTGCAGAAAGGAAAGCCACCTCCATGCTGGGGTGTGCTGCACAGTTCTACTTTCGTGGGGTCTGCATGGTCATTGAGTGTTCCCTGCTGGCTGCAATGGCCTGTGAGTGCTACATGGCCATCTGCAACCCTTTGCTGTATGTGGTCACCATGTCATCCATCACTTGTGCAACTTTCCCCCACTCTGACACCATCTCTGTGCTCATCTTCACATCCTGTGCCTCCATCCTGGCCGTCATCCTGAAATACACGCTCTGCTGAGCAGCAGCACAAAGCCTTCTCTACCTGTGCTGCCTGCCTCACTGCCTCACCCTCTACTATGGCTCCTTCTTCATTTATGCCTGGCCCAGCTCTGCCTATGTCCTGGGGAGGGACAAGGTGGTCTCTGTGCTTTACACCATGGTGATGCCTATGCTGAACCCCTTCATATACACCCTGGCGAGCCAGGATGAGAAGGATGCACTGAAGAGACTGGTGAAGAGACAAACAGCTTCTTAACAGAAGAAAAGTAAGGATTACACATCCCCAAAGATGTGTAGAGCAAGAAGGAAGTGTTCCTATCTTCTCTTGTTTGTGTTTTATTTTTGCTTTCACAGTCGGTGCAAGATGATGTAACAAAGGAGCATAAGCACTTTAGATCCTGAAGTGCTGGCTGATGGACAGGAGGTGTCACTGTGCAGACAGACTTCCTCTCCTCCCCATATGTAATTTATATTAGTACTACAAAATGGGATCTCATCTGTGGCTAGCCTGGTTGTTTACATGATGAACTGTACATCAGCTTCTTCAAGCTGGGCTTTATCTGCATTAAATATTCCTTACTTAGGCCCAAATCAGTAGCTCACTCAGAGCACCTTATAGCATGAATACCACGTCTCTGCTCCTGAACAATCTGTTATTTCTTTCCAATGCTGTATTGCACCTTATAAACATGTTTTTCATAGTCTTAGATTATTTTCCCCTGTGAAATGTTCACATCACTGTGTATAGTGCGAGTCAGATTTGAAGAATTGATGTTAGGAAGTGCAGAGGCCTCTGAGAATGAACTCAGTCACCTGAACATAGACTCTAACACCATGGAGATGCCTCCAGGTCTCCCTCTGATCTTTCAGATGCTGTTCCAGTGGTCTGACTCCTCTGAAGGCTATATGGCATATATGTCAAACATGTGCCAGTGTCTTTTGCACAGCAAGTGGTACAAGAAGAAACCTTGAGGGCAACCAAACTCTGGCCTGCTTCTTTCCTGAAACACACATTTCCCGCATCACTTGTAGGAAGACAAACAAGAAAGATAAAGTTGTTTCCAAGTTATTAAAGTACTTTATTTTCCTTTATAAAGTTTTAGTTCAACTGAAAGGAAAAAAAAAAAAAAGAAGAAAAAAGCTTATTTTTATTATAAGGACTCAGACAGGTGGTGGGGTTAGAAGGATCAAAGCAGATCCATCTCCTTCAAATGTAGAAAAATAGAAATTAAGTCAGTGTTCCTTCTCCCTCTCCATGATCAAAAAGGCTTTATTTCCATCGGTTCTTGTTCAGGCAAATTGTGCAGTTTAGAGATGACCTCCTCCATTCCTTCCCCCACCACACTTTCGTTTGCATCACAGGCTGGGGGTCAGGCTGTAGAGCTGGGTTCCTCTTGGATGAAACAAAACTGAAAGTGGCTTCTAAAGCACTTCATCTTCCAGTGGGTGTTCAAATGCTGTGACCAGAACAAATTTAATACAAAGAAAACTGTCCTGAAATGTGTATGTCATAGGTAGCAGGTCCTTGGCGCTGGCCCTTCCAGAGCTGCTCCTGTTGCACCACAACTGTCTTAACCACCTGTCTTAAGACGTGATAAAACTTCTATTCCCTCATACTTTAGAGGTATCTTGGCTAATTATCTCATATTTAGACAAAGGATTTTTAGATGTTGTGAGCCAGGTGAATCCAATCTTGAGCTTATTCACCAATCTTAACTTCTTAGTGGTAGGAAACACATTTGTGACAACAGGTGAAGGGTGGAGAATGTACGTTTAGTACTTCAACTTGCCTCACAGTCTAAGAAATAATAAAGACACAAGAAAGTCATTCCTAAGACAAGTGACACCAATAAATTCAAGGTCTGAGGAGTCCTTGAAGAGGTTCTCAGGTGAGCAGAAGTATGAGGAGCTTCCCCAGCTCCCTCCATCAGAGCCTGTGTACCACCCAGCTCTGCAGCCCTACTGCCATACCCAGCAGGGTTTTAGGATCAAGGCTGGGGTCACCACTTGGCATGTGCTTTCCTGCCCAGGGCCAACTCCAACTTTCACCACACTTAAGAGAATTTTGAAATTATTACTTGGTTTCGGTGTTTTGTGTGGTGTTTTTTGACATGGATCAAAAGCAGGCAGGGACAAACAGTCCAATTAGTGAGAACCAACAGAAGCTTGGCCTACAGAAAGCCCTTCCAGCAGACCTTGGGCTCTGGGCTCTTGTCACACAGGGGGTTAAGATTATTTCCATCACAAGTGATGCTGCCCTTCTTCCCAGAGCAAGAAGTGCTCTTTGGAGACCAACCACCCTTCGAGGAGCCATTGGCTTAACAAGTCCTTCTGGGGCTTACAAAGAAAGTTTCCTAATCACCCTGAAAGCTTCTCGGAGGGCTTGTAGTCAACTTCACTCATTCTTCTTAACAAGGCATGAGAGACTAATTAGCAGGGACTAACAAGAAAGAAACTTTATTCCTTGTTAACGACAAAGAGCAACTCTACATCTACTTTGTTTGTCAGAGTTAGTGCAGGCTCCAAAACGAAGAGCTGGAGGTCAGTGTGTTGGTGTGTGACACATTAAGGGCAATTGTCTGGGCCTGGCTGCCTGCAGATGGATGCTCCTCCAAGCTCTCCTGATTAAAGCCCCTGCCTCTCATCCCTGAAGTTAACTCCCCACCTCCAGGCTGAGGTCTTCTTTCCTTGGTGGGATCATGCAGTGACCAAGCAGCACCATCACCTCCTCATTGAGGAGGTATTGTGTTGTGCATGGTGGGAGCACTGGTTATGGTGGAAGCTTCTGCCACGCTGGTCTTGGGTCTGCTTGGGATCACTTCTCTATTTTTCTATCACATTTGTTCCTATTCAGTACTCTTTCCTCTCCTATTGGTTGAGTGGGTTAGCTTAACTATAATTACTAAAGCTTGTTAGTCAACCTAATGTATCTTATGGTTTATTTTAGAGGAAAAATTACACAACTGTACAACACCAAGCTAAAGCAGTCAGCAATCATACAATAAAAATAAGCTCAAAGTGCCAGGATAGGGAGCAGGCACCTTCACCATTGTGCACAGTTGTCTGACCCTTGAGCAGGTTGCAGGCACTGCAGAAGTTTCTGAGAAAAAAATTGCAAACACAGCTACAGTCAAAATAAGTCCTTGTTGCGGCAAAATGTTGTTATAAAGCCCAGTGTCTGCTGCTATGACCGGTGACGCTGCATTATCTGGGCCACAGGGCTTCCGCAAAGCAGTGGTGGCAGGAGGGAGGAAACAGGGCTTTGGAGGAAGTTTCTGGGAAGACAGTGCCTAACTCAACAGCACAGGCCAAGTTCCTCCTGTAGCCCATGTCAGGAGGTAGGCAGTAAGTGCCTCAGTGGCTGGATCATCTGTGGGCACACTTTTTTTTTACCAGCTAAAGATTAGAAAGGCAACCTGGGAAGAACTTTATGAGATGGGACAAAGCTGTACTCCTGTGTCACACAGTCAGTGGGAAATGAATCTTGGTCTGCTGGCTAGAGGACCATGTTTCATAGTCAACCAGCTGTAACGCTCTATGTGTGTTCACCAGAAATGTGCCTGTTCTTTGGCATTAAAAGATCTCTTGTCATCATTTTCATGCTGAAAGCAACAGCTGTTATTTCTTCTTGCTGCTCAAGACAACAGTGGTAATGCATTCTCAGACCACAAAGGGTCAAAAGGGCTTCGGTTCCTGAAAATCTTATCAGACAAAGTAACTAATGCATCCCTGACTGAGCAAGGTCAATAAATGGCCTAATCCAAGAGCAGCTCATGAGCAGGCATTTAGGAACAAAGTAGAGATTTACCAGTACTTCTGTCCCCTTGCTCATCAGTTTATTGGAGAGCACTACATCTTCCATTACCACCGCTGCAGAAATGGAGAGGTATAGACAGTTCTGAGAAGATCTCTCAATTCCTCTGACTCACCAGGAAAAACTACCTGTCAGAGGAACGCTTCCTCTCCATCACCCTCCCCAGAGCATCCTTCACCTCCTTGTTCCTCAGGCTGTAGATGAGGGGGTTCAGCATGGGGGTCACCACGGTGTAGAACACAGAGGCCACCTTGTCCAGGTCCTGGGAATGCCTGGAGCTGGGCCGTGAGTACATGGATGCAGCAGATCCATAGAAGAGGGTCACAGCAGCCAGGTGGGACGCACATGTGGAGAAGGCTTTGCGTTTGCCGGCAGCTGAGGGCATCCTGAGGACAGTGGCCAGGATGTAGGTGTAGGAGATGAGGATGGTCAGACTGGTGACAAACAGGTTGAATCCCACCACAACGAACATCACGACTTCGTTGATGGTGGGATCTGTGCAAGAGATGGCATACAGCGGGGGCCCCTCACAGTAGAAGTGATTGATGACATTGGAGCCACAGAAGGACAGCCGAAGTGCCACCCCTGTGTGAATGGTGGCATTCAGAACCCCAGCAAGGTATGAGCCAGCGACCAGCCGTGCACAAACCCTGCTGGACATGGAGATCACGTAGAGCAGAGGGCTGCAGATGGCCACGTAGCGGTCATAGGCCATCACGGCCAAGAGGTAGCACTCAGTGGTGGCAAAGACAGCGTAGAAATAAAATTGTGCAAGGCACGCAGAGTGAGAAATGACCTTCCTTGATGCCAGGAGGTCTGAGAGCAGTCTGGGGGTGATTGAGGAAGAATAGCAGATGTCAAGGAAGGACAAGCTGCTCAGGAAGAAATACATGGGAGTGTGGAGTTGGGAGTCCAGCCTGATCAACACAATCATCGCCAGATTGCCTAGCAAAGTGACCATGTAGATCACCAAGAAGACCATAAAGAGGACAGCCTGGACATCCCTGCGCTCTGAGAATCCCGAGAGCACAAATTCATCACTGGGGGTGTGATTTCCCCTGGCCGACATCATAACAGTCACTGTAGGAAAGCAGAGATGCAAAGAAACATAAAGTCAGCATACTCATTCCTTCTACCCCCCTTAGATAAATGTTAGAGGTGTGTCTTTTTATCAGGGAACATAAGGTGTGGAGGCAGCAACTATAGAATTGTACATGAATATGTAGAACATATTCAATGTTTGTCTCAAAATACATTTTAAAGTAAACAAGGTGCATGTTGGAATGCATTCCTAATGGTTTTATTCTGTTCCTAATTTGGTTTGATAAAGTCATTTCACAAATAGGAAAGTTTATTCTATTTTCTGAAGATTTTGAGAAGTTTATAACTCAGGTCCAATGAGGTAGCCCCAGAAATTTATTCTGACATTAGAAATTCAAGTCTGATTTGTTTATATTTCAATTTTATTTTATTTTATTTGGTCTCAGAAGAGGAAAAACATTGGTGAGAGATAGAGATATTTTTAGAGGTTTTATCTTAGGAAAGCCAGAATATGTCACAATAAAATTCTCATTTCTTCCCTTCCTTCCTGTGAAGAAGGTGGGAGCAACTCTGAATTGTTTGAAAGTGGATATTTAGTGTAAATATCGACACACATGCACCTTTAAATAGACCATTTCTATAATTCTTGTGACGCCACTAAATTGAGAAAGGTAAAGGAAAGAATTTTTTAAAATCGCTACCAGTGGAAACCCCAGCAACGCTACAGTGCCATTGCTAAGTGGGGGAAGTAAGCTTCTGATAGTGCAGTTTAAAAAAATAATAACACCTCTTCCCAAAAGAGAAGTTAGAACTGGTTTCAGTTACACAAGACATCAAACCATACCCTTGGAAAGGATCCTTCAGCACGTGGAAATCTCAATGCACACACCCTTATCTGACCCATACACGCGTCTCTTAAATCTGGACTTAGTGAGACCAGGACTTCACAGCTAGTTATATTCCTTTCCAGGAATTCAAAACCAGCTACAGAAGCTTTCACACCACCCTAAAGCAATCTGAGGTTTTCCCTACAACCCAGGCAGTGCTGTTACACGGTGAGTTTCGAGCACAGTAATGAGTAGAAGCTCGCCAGGCTGTGCAGCTCCAGCACCCTCAGCTCAGAAAAGCAGCTTCTGGGTTCCTCAGTTTCACCTGAGAGATCCTGACCTCGGGCGAGTGTTTTGTGTGCTTCAGTCCACCCTTCCTAACAGCTCAGCTCTTGGCAGCGCTTTCAGGCTGATGCTGGGAGATGCTCTTAACTCACCTGTTTGCTCACACCTCAGGACCTTTTTCAGTTTACGGGCGACAGAGAGGCGAAACTAGTTGTCTTCTAGACCCAAACTTGGTGTGAGAAATAAGCCCCACTTTCTCCCTGTGTTCGTGCTAAAGGCAAGAATGATTTGTCAGCCATAAAGGGCATCAACCCTTGACCAAGAAAAGCTGCTGTTTATATGATTCTTCCATTAAAAAGTTTTGTCAAACGCCCCCCTTCCCTCCCAGCATGTTTTGTCATGCAAGAAATTTCTCTTGGGAGTTGATGACTTTGGAAACAGCTCCTTACGGAGGAGACATGCACTGATAAGTAAACACAATTAGCTTCAGCACGTTAACTGCAAACCTGAGAGGTTTTCCTTCTTCTTTTTATGTGTGATTTGTATCTCGAAATTGTGGGGAATTTAAAAGAATTGATGTAAAACAGAGATTCAAGGATTAGGCAATAGCTCAGCTTTTGGAGAAGCGTCACAAACACTAGCTGGGGCACGGGGTGGGGGGGATAAGGGGAGGAAAACCTTTCAAGAACTCTTCTGCCACAGTTTGTTTTAACGTTATATAGGATATCCTGTTATTAAAAACCCAGAGAGCTGGACCCAGGCATAGAGTCACAGCTGGATTTATGGGGAGAAGTTTGCCTTTAACTGATTTTAAAAGAACAGAATGGTAATAGCATTTGCCATTAGGTCTTCTAGGAAGTATTTCATATCATCCATGGTAAATTTATTCGGGAAGTTAATATCTGATCTTTGTGACCTTTGTGTTAAAGCAAAAGCATGGCGCTGATACTGACTATCTTCATCCATTTTGCTTTTCTGTTCTTTCCAGAAACTCCTTTGCATGTTGAGCAACATGTACAGCTGAATTATAAATCATTGACTAAAGGCTGGTTTCTCTTTCTCCCTTTGAGGGCATTTTTGAAGGACTCTGGAACATCAGCGTGGGGATCTGATGCTTTCCCTTGTGCTTAAGTATACCCTTCAGAATAGCCTGATTGTGATTGCTCTGGACAAAATCTGCATTTGCCATGGCTACATGTCAGCCCATCGTCCTCAGCTGCCAAGCAGCAAGTGGAAAAAACATATATTCCAGAAAAATTCATCTCGCCATGATGGGCATGTTAAAAATAGATCAGATGAATCAAGGTCCCCAGATGCTTAGTTGTCTCTGAAAGGGGAACCAGTGGTGACTAACCCAGATATGAAAGCCTACAATTAGAATTGATGACTACTGGACTGAGATGACTCAAACCCTGTCTCTGAAACCTGGAAACTGAAATAATTATTAAGCTGCAGCTGGGATGGAAAATAATCTTTGCCTGGACTACCCGTGGACAAGCCAAACAAAATAATAAATCAGGTACATTTTACTAAAGCAAAACCCAAGGCAACTACTTAGAAAAATTTAAACCAAAGTGACAAAAAGCATTGTCCCTCCCCATGAAATATTTTTTATTTATCTTGTCTCCTGCTCTCAGCCACCTCTTTTAGCCGCCAGAATTCAAATATTATTGTGATTTAGCATAAATCCTCCTCAGCAAAAAGTATTGGATGTGCAGATTCTAGCAATGCTTATAAATTCATTTCCTATGAAAGTGTCACAAACAATGGAAGTGTTTCTAGGGCTGTTTTTCTTCATTCTATCAGATATCATAATTATGGGTAATTCCTTCTTCATGGGACCTCATCGTGGGGTTCAGTCACAATTCACACAGTGTTCAGCACAAGGCAGAAGGTCTTCTGAAGAGATATGCAGGAATGTGCAGTGCCCTCATTGCACCAGGTGTCCGATTTACTTGTTCTGCTGCCTCAGCTCCGTCAGGTGACAGCTGTTTGAGTGTGGCTGGAGGGAGACTGGTGGTGATTTGCACAGGAGAGGAGCTTCCTCACAGCTCTTCTCAGGGCAATCCTCACCTTCACATTCCTCAGGCTGTAGATGAAAGGGTTGAGCATGGGAATCACCACAGTGTAGAAGACCGAGGCTGTTTTCCTTTCCTCTTCTGCGTGACTGGAGAGGGGGTGGAGGTACAGGAAAGCTGCAGAGCTATAGAGGAGGGCAACGGCCATCAGATGGGAGGTGCAGGTGGAGCAGGCCTTGTGCCTGCCCTCCCCAGAGCGGGTACTCCAGACGGTGAGCAGGATGAAGGCATAGGAGGTGAGGATGGCCAGGCCCGTGGTGGTGATGATGAAGGCGGCACACGAGACCATCACCACCTCGTTGAGCTGGGTTTCAGAACATGAGAGCGGCAGGAGTGGTGGGATTTCACAGTAGAAGTGATTGACAACATTTGGGCCGCAGAAGGACAGTCGGAGGAGACCGGCGGTGTGCACCAAGGCGTTCAGGCCACCAGCAGTGTAGGAGCCCACCACCAGCTGGGTACGGACCCTGTGGGACATGACAACCACGTAGTGCAGAGGCTGACGGATGGCCACGTAGCGGTCGTATGCCATGATGGCCAGGAGGATGGCATCCGTGGTGATGAAGACCATGCAGAAGAAAAACTGTGTGATGCAGCCATTGAAAGAAATGACGTTCCTACCAGTGAGGAGGCCCAACAGGAGCTTTGGAGTCACAGATGAAGAATAGCAGATGTCCAGAAAGGAGAGGTGGCTGAGGAAGAAGTACATAGAGGTGTGAAGCTGCGGGTCAGTCCTGATGAGGACAATCATTCCCAGGTTCCCCACCAGAGTGGTGATGTAGATGAGTAAGAAAATTATGAAGAGCAGCTCCTGCAGGTGGGTGAAGCCCAAGAGGACAAACTCTGTCACACCTGAGTGGTTTCCCTCAGTCATGCTCCCGGTTCTGGCACAAAGGATATGGAGAGAAACACAGAGGAGAGGTGAAATCATTTCTCCAGCTTGCAGGATTACACAGTGCCTGAGGCTAAAGCAGGATTTGGTGTTTCCTGGGTGAATAGACATGCTTATTTGGAGACAAAAAATAACAGCTACCCTCAATGGACAGATTGATGATCAAAAAGCAGTAGCCAGCAGGTTACTGCTGGAAAAAAATAAAAATGGAAAAAAAAAAAGAATAAATCTTAAAGCTGGAGCCTGTGCCCTGGCCAGCACACTGAAAAGAATTGATCTTGGAAAAGATCTTGCCAATGACCTCTTCTCAAGAACAATCCGGATTCTTTCCAATGGGTATGGAAATATGATTTAATTTCCCCTAGGGGGAAGTTTCTTATTTATGGAGAAATAAATGCACTTTAATTTGCCACTTCAATTAAATAGATTACAGACCACGTTAGAGTGATTTTCTGACTCTCTAGTGATGTGTTTGGATCAATTATAGTGAGACTAGCATACCTGTTTGCAATTCTACGTATTTATAGCTTCAAGAGAAAACCTTTCGCTTCTAATTGGAATTATAAACCAACGACATGAATGTGAACATCTCTGATAAGGTGTGTCTCTCAAAAGGTCAGTGACTAGGGCTAAATCATTGGCTCCCCTTGGTTGCAGCTCTAGATTCATAAATGCATTAGGTAGCCAGCAGGAAAAGATGCTGTATTGCATATACACACGTATATATACATTAAAAAACAAACAAGCAAGCAACAACAAAAAAAACATAGTTTTTCACACAGGGTGGAGAATCCATCTTTTCCATTGTTTGCTTGTTCTTACATATAATCTTTTTCCAACCTAAATTATTCTATATTTCTATGATTCTTGTGCCCCTTGGGTCTACTAATATAAGGAATTTTTATCCAACGTTTGAATTCAGAATTAGGATTAGAGTTCAGACGTCCTGGGGTATGGGATT